AGTACGCAGCGTATTAATTTGACACATACGTCATTTTGTTCGTCTGACATTTAAAACTACAAACACACAAGTTGAGTCCGCCAAAAACTAGCGTCTTTGTTTTATCGTTCAGTGATTATGTCAAGTTTTGTGCCTGAAAAAGAACATTTGCGGCACGCATTGCTTTTCTTATTTAATCAAAAGAAAAAGGCTGTTGAAAGTCATCGTTTGCTAGTAGAAACATATGGTGAACACGCTCCATCGATTAGAACATGTGAGACATGGTTTCGACAATTTAAAAGTGGTGATTTCAATGTGAAAGACAGTGAGCGCTCTGGTAGACCACAAAAATGCGAAGACGAGCAATTGCAAGAGTTATTGGATGATGACCCTACTCAAACTTAACGGCAATTAGCAGAAGCATTACATGTGTCACAAGAAACAATCAACAGACGTTTACGAGCAATGGGGAAGATCAATAAACTCGGTAAATGGGTCCCACACGATTTGAATGAACGTCAAATGGAAAATCGCAAAGTCACTTGTGAAATGCTGCTTCAACGCCACGAAAGGAAATCATTTTTGTATCGAATTGTGACGGGTGACGAAAAATGGATTTATTATGAAAACCCGAAGCGGAAAAAATCGTGGCTTTCACGTGGCGAAGCCGGTCCATCAACACCAAGGCCAAATCGCTTCGGCAAGAAGACCATGCTCTGTGTCTGGTGGGACCAGAGCGGTATTGTGTATTATGAACTCTTGAAGCCCGGCGAAACCGTTAATACACAACGCTATCGCCAACAAATGATTAATTTAAACCACGCATTAATCAAAAGACGACCGGAATGGGCTAGACGACATGGCAAAGTGATTTTGTTACATGACAATGCGCCGTCTCACACAGCAAAACCAGTAAAAGACACCTTAAAATCGCTTGGATGGGACATCCTTCCGCACCCGCCGTACTCCCCAGACCTGGCGCCATCTGATTATCACCTCTTCGCATCAATGGGGCACGCGCTTGCAGAGCAGCACTTCAGCAATTTCGAGGAAGTTGGAAAATGGCTCGACGAATGGTTTGCCGCAAAANACAAGCAGTTTTTCTGGCATGGTATTCATAAATTACCTGAAAGATGGGCGAAATGTGTAGAAGCCGATGGCCAATATTTTGAATAAAGAAAAAATTAATTTCCCTTGAAAATTACGTGTGTTTTTTAACCTAAAAACCGAAAAAAACTTATGCATACATCTGGTATATATATAATATATATATAAGAAGATCAGATAATTCGAAACGCTTATAATTGCAGCCAGCGTAAGTTAAATAATATTTTAAGGCTCGTGAAAATGTCATACAAGAATATAAGGCCGATACGAGCCATTCCCAGGATGTTGAGCAGGAACTTTTTTTTTTCGCAATATTTTAAAATTTAGTTAGAGGGGTATTCGGGGTCTTTCATATGTGAGATGCAAATCCCGCATCCCGTATAAATTTACGAATTGAATTTTCAATTCAAAAAACTTACTTGTAAAATTTACAAGTAATACTTGTTAAGATGTATACATATATGTATGCACGTTCAAGTTCTTGCTCAACATCTTGGGAGTGGCTCGTATCGGCCTTATATTCTTGTATGACAAGCTTTTCACAAGCCTTAAAATATTATTTATATTTCTAATTTTGCTGTCTGAATTTGTACGTATGTCTTACGCCCGTTTTGTAATTTCATCTTTTAGATTTGTTTTTCACTGTCTATAAGTGCATGTAAATGTAAGTTTGTTGGTATATTACACTACGTAAAAAATCTGTACGTATCATGCAATAACAAACAATGTAATTGCACTATAGCTATGTAAGACTCACCTGATACCAGATTTAAAAAAACCAAATGTGTATAAATATATGTATTTATTTGTAGTTCTATGTCATTGTATTGTCGCTTAAATTATTTCCATTATGATCTTTGGCCTTCATTTGTTTAATTCTCAAGTAGTATGTTTTCTTGTTTCTTTTTTATTATTCTCGTATATAGTTTTTATGTTTTATAATTCTACATAAATTCTATATATATTATAAAATATATACAACAAATATATAAGAAATTTACATAAAATTATTAGTTATGAAAATACGTATGTAATTACCGCCTGTTTTGTGAAAAAAATGCCAATATNTGTAATGTTTCCAGATGGAGATTATAACAAGGAAACAAGCTGGATTAAAATTATTTGTCTATAAATTANTATCTCGTAATAATAATTACAAGTATAGATAAGTATGTCTATTATCTATAAAAGGCATTTTATAATAGGCATTTTTTTCACATAGAATATGATAATTAAATTTATATTTACAGAAATAATAAATTTTATATAAAGTTGATACATATTTGTAATTTATTTTATAATTGTATATATATTTTAAATATATGTAAAAGTATAAAACATTAAACCTATATGAGAGTAATAAAAAAAATTAAGAAAATATAAAACATAAGAATTAAACTGATGTAAGCCAACAATCATAATGTNATTAATTTATGCGATGTATCTATATCGTTGCTCTAAACGCAAAACTGAAAAATACTCTGAACTTTTACGACAGGAAAAAGAATCTTATATTTTGGAACAATTACACAATCATTCAGATGAGCCGTACATTGTTCAGATTTTTAATATAAAAAAGGAAATGATTCGTTTAACTGTAGAAACAACAAAACCTTTAAAAGAAATATTCGATACATTCTGTTGCAGTAACCCAACAGCTGCAAAATATATTTCATACAACAGCATGAAATCTGTAATTAGCCGCCAAAGAATCAAACCTCGTCCAGCTGTTCCCAATGATTNACGATCTCTACACGACATGTTAGAAACATACGAACCTACGAGCAGTATTTACAAAGGTTGTGCAGTATCATCCAATAATAAAATTGCACTTATATTTAGCANCGACACATTATTAAGCCTCTTATCTGAAGCATGTGAAATATTTGTGGATGGGACTTTTTCTGTAAGTATCTTTTTTAAATATTTAAATTAATTGTGTGTGTAATACANGGATAAAAGTGTACAAAATGGTAGCAACATCTGATAGCCCTTATTTTCACATGTTATTAAAGTTAGGAGTAACAAACAAAGAGTTAAGCTTATGCTGATTATTTTTTAAAAAGTTAGTAACAAAGAGTTTTATAAATGAAGCTTTGTTTATCGACACTGTATATATTATACGCATAATAGATGATATTTAATACAGAATATGTCGTATAAACAACTATTTTAGTTTGGAAAGTATATGCTTATTGTGCTTTTTGTGAATAACGTTGTAATAAACAATGAGCACCGACGAAACTCTTTCGTTTGTTACTCAGGATCATGATCTTNGTAACATATGAAAGTGAAGGTCATCAGATGCTGATCATCTTTTGTATACTTTTACCATACACCCACGCGCGCCCGCGCACACATACATACATACATACACACATATGTGTACAAATATTTTCTAGATTGTACCAAAAAAACCAAATATGTCTCAACTGTACAGTGTACATGTTCGCCATGCAGATACGGTATGTAATGTTAATTTTTTATTTATTACAATATTTAATAATTCATTTACTATATACGTAAGTTTTATGAAGATTAAATCACTTTATTTAGGGTATAGCAACAATTTTTGTGTTATGTGAAGTACGATTGGCCTGTCTTTATAAAGCTATGTGGGAGAAAATTGTTTTGCTTGCACCTGATCTGCAACGTAATTTAAAAGTTATTATGTCAGATTATGAAAAAGCTGCATTATCTGCAATGAGCCAACAGTTTCCAACAGCTTCCATTTATGGTTGTTGGTTTCATTATACACAAGTATATTTAATTTAAAGTTTTATACAAATATTTTTAATAGATTTCAAATAGTAACAACAAATGTACTTTTTCAAGCTATTCTTAGAAAATGGCGNAAGCTACAACTAAATAGTGCACCTCATGATCTATTGTCTATAACTATGTCTATGGCATTAGCACCGATTAACTTATTTGATGATTCATTAAATATTATGCAAACTNTTGCTGATCGCATGTCTACGACTTATCCAAATGTATTGTTATTTATGACATATATGCGTAGCACATGGCTACCTTTAGCATCTAAAGTATCCGTTCATAACTGTCGTGTTCGTACAAATAATGTAGTGGAAAGTTTTCACCATGTTATTACTCAAAAGATAGGCACAGTCAATCCAAATTTATGGATATTTTAAAGTAAAAATATTTTAAACTAAGTATAAACAATTGATACGAGCCGATGTATTCGCATATGTATATATATTTTTAAAATGTTTTTAATATGTAAAGTACTAATAATACCAACTGAAATTTCAATTTTAAAATTCATCTAAGATGCTTGGTTTGAATCGCAAATAGATGAAATATCTAATTTATCTCCCTATGAAATTTAAAGATTCATTGCGAAAAAACATCTCGGCCAAATCGAACCCAGAAGTTCTTGCACAAATTTTTAATGTCAAAACAAGGTAAATTGTGTATTTCATCTACTTGTGATGCAAACCAAGCATCCAAGATAAATTATTGGATTGAAATTTCAGATAAAATTAGTACGTTTATTAAGTTACACGTTTCTTTAAATAAATTTAAAGAATAAATATATTTACGCGTACATGTAGCATTGACCGTATATACGTAGTTTGACATTTTCACAAACCTCAAATAGTGTTGAAAAATGTTTTGCATATTTAGTTAATACAATTCTGTATATTTGTTGTATCATTTGTTCTAATAGTTGGTAACATATACTGTAATATATTGTTGCGAGATGCGACGCGTGTCGTCCACGCGGTATAAGAAGATGTTTGTCGAGCGATCGACTGCTTGGATGCTTTTGTTCGGGTAGCAACGGAGTTGTTTACGAGAGAAGTTCAAGAAAGATACGAAGCTGTCACGGCGCGTTTCGGCGATTTGTACAACAAGCTGTTCTTTCCTTAAACAATAATAAATATGTAAAGATGATTGTATGAAGCTTCAAGAATTTTCAAAAAACAATGAATTTTGGCTATTGAAGCAATAACACTGTTGTTAGAGTGTATACATTTAAATCCGTTTATTAAACAATTAAATTAGCATGAACGCTTTCGACCTTGTATTAGGTCCTTGTCAAATGCATTTCTACAATAAATAACGTATAAAAACAATTAATAAGATACAAATAATGGAAAAAATATACAAAAAAAAAATTAATTACAAATCGCAGAAAATATGATATACAATGTCACTTACAAATTATATTAGATAAAATAGGTTGCTCAATGTTGATCTTGGATATCCACACTAGCCAGTCCGACCAACACTTTACAAAGGTGGAAATGCGACTGCGAAACAACGTGTGTATAAAGAAAGAATTCAAATTTAACGAGAAACGTATCAATTTACAATGTCTTATCGACAAACGGTAAATAGGCATTATCTAAATTTTCTGTGTCGCACTGTAAATTAAGTCCGCTGACTTGACTTTTTATGTGTAGCATTTCTGATACCAACTTTTTTCTATATGATCTCTCAAAATCCAAAATTTCTACCTTATCCCACTCAAAATCATGTGAATATTGCTGTCTATGTTCAGTAATTACAGATCTTTGAGTGGAATTTCTATTGATGTGACTTTTATACTCCTTAATTCTGGCCTGTAACATTCTGCCAGTTTGTCCTACATACAAGGTCGAAAGCGTTCATGCTAATTTAATTGTTTAATAAACGGATTTAAATGTATACACACTAACAACAGTGTTATTGCTTCAATAGCCAAAATTCATTGTTCTTTGTTTTTTCCTTGTATTTTGTTGTAATAAAGTGTGTTTGTCAAAAAACCGCGTACCCTCTCATTTCCGCGAACGGTTACGCGAATTGCGCGGCTCGGTTACGGAGCCGGATTGTGCGCCGCGAGCGCAACAATATAATGAATATAATAAATAAATAACTGTTTATCATAGTTTATGTACTAGTTATTTCATAATAATTTTTATTGCTTTACTGATGAGATTATCGTAATTAATGGTAAAAAATTATTAATTAATAATTTAATCAAAATAGAAAACTAATCTGTTTTTCTTTGTTATGTAATTAATTGAAACATTATGTAGATATAACAAATCTATATTAACGCATTTTTTCTGCATTTGTAAGATTAATATTCTGAGATTGCAATCCCAAAAATGACGATATATCAGATGGAATATAACAATCCTGAAGATACCTTTACTTCCACTGTAAACCACATAACTCAACTTACTTCCACTTATAAAAATAGCATGGATACCTGTTAATATATTTTTTAAATTAAAGTTTGATAAAAACATAATGTACAAAGAATTATAAAAATTTTTATAAGTATAAAAAATGTATATAGTTTTTTTATTTAAAAAATAATACTATATAAAAATTGTTAAGAACAGTTTTATACAAATACAAAAAAACAATACCTTGTCCGTTGTTGGATATAGATAACAAACTATCGTTTGAACCATTTACAATACAGACTCTTCTAGGTGTTATTTGGAAACAATCGGAGGTTTGTGGATTTACTGATGTCTTTATTACCTGCAAGTACAAATCAGATGTTAAAATGTTTAGTTGAACATTTTACATGCAATAAACAGATACGATATTAGTATCTGAAGTTCATCTTTACGTAACAGTCTACAATCAGCTGATAATTTTATTGGCTGTTCTGTTGTAAGATCTTCTAAATTAGACGTATTGAAATCTTTTTTGTTTGTATCTTTCTCTTTCAAATCTTTTGAAAAAAATGTTACTGCCACATAGCAACCATCGACTTTTAGAAATCTCTCTATAAATTAAAAAAACATAGAGAAATAAAATATATTACGCAACAACTTTTATTCCTAAATAAGTACAATTAAACGTATGTACCAATATATACAGTCTTGACGTCTTCAACAAAAACGACATCTTTTCATTTCCAGTCTTCTTCGTAATTTCTCTCAGACTCTCTTTCTCTTCGGGGATGCCATGCGTTTTTGTCGCTCTAAAATTTTACATGTAATTAGTAAAATACTTTATTGCTTTATAAACTATTCAAAAAGTAGTATATTATTTCTTTTAAAACATTCAAACCATTTTACTATGACTTGTGATGCTGCCGGTATCGCTGCAGGTGCTCAAAGCTGGCGATGGCGGAAGCGGTATGTCCAGTTTGTCGGCAGTTTCCTTGTGATTCGGTTTGTTTACAACTTCTGTGCCTTCGTTTTCGTTGGACTCGCGCTTATCAGCACTCAAATTAGACAAGTGTGCACCAGCAGGTAATATTTTAATCCTGCACGTAGCGTCCATATTCCACGCCGCTGATAGCAAATGTTTTACTTCTGGCACGCCGTTAGATATTGTGAATCCTAAAGACAAAAGCGTTGGACATTACAACTGCATAATTTTTCTTTCACGCGCGCGCGCACGCACGTACACGCACACAAACTACTATTAATTAACAATTTAAGGATTCAATTTGTAAGATATATGTAAACCTATTACCAATACCTCCCGGTTTACACCGGACTGTTCTTCATACACACGTGCGATTTGTAACTGATATCGCTGGACACCACGGTAGATGGTCTGTGCTTGCGTTACTTAGCCGTATACTTTTCCCAGTCTTTTACGTTGTACGAACGGTAAACCATCCATGTGAAAAAAATAAAAAACAATCAAATACAAATTTTACATATTACATGTATTGTGGTGAAGTTTGTAAATGTAGAACAACGATTACACTAACCACCAATACAATGTTCCACTTTCAAGTCTTGCAACAATGTACAGAGCGCACGTGTGAAGTGATATGATTTTATCGAGCGTAAATTCAATGTGAAAGCTTGCGCCGGATGTTCGAGACAAGAAGCAACGTGTGACAAAAGCTCATCATGCCAAGTCGCTACTTTTTTGCTCTCCGTACTAACGGAACATTGAATTGCCGTAGCTGATATAGTGACTATTTTTTCGGATGTCAATGCCAGGAGTAGAGTTTTTGGATAATGCGCGGTCAGATTCTACAATAACAAACCGAAAATAATAAACACACTTCCCAGAAATAAACAAGAAAATTGTAATATCAAACAAGTTTAAAACCCTTAAGGCTGTTCTACAATACAGTCGTAAGCTTTCACAACCTATCTACATAAGACGCAGATGCTAGTCGCAGGTTGCAGGTCTCGCGAAATTGATCAATCACATTGGACAAATCAGTCAATCAGCGAACACACACACACACACGTGATTGGTCAATTCCGCGAGACCTGCTACCTGCGACACGCGTCTGCGTCTTATGTAGATAGGCCTTAAGGCGTCGTCTACAATACAGTCGTAAGCTTTCACAACCTATCTACATAAGACGCAGATGCTAGTCGCAGGTTGCAGGTCTCGCGAAATTGATCAATCACATTGGACAAATCAGTCAATCAGCGAACACACACACACACACGTGATTGGTCAATTCCGCGAGACCTGCTACCTGCGACACGCGTCTGCGTCTTATGTAGATAGGCCTTAAGGCGTCGTCTACAATACAGTCGTAAGCAATAAGCGGTAAGAAATTGATCAATCACAGACAAATCACGGAAGAATAATCGATTATGATTAGTCAATTTCTTACAGCTTACGGCTTACAACTGCATTGTAGACAACTAAGTCGTAAGCTGTAAGTTGTAAGAAATTGACTAATCATAAACAATTTCCAGAAAAATAATCAATTGCAATTATTGTAGAACAGGCCTTAGGGCTATACTATACAAAATGACATACGGTGCGTTTGCTTTGGGCGTCAATCTATCTTTCTTCTACAATTAAAGAACAATAAAAACGGACTGATGCTAAAAGCGCGTAAGCATCCAAAGCGAACGCATTTATAAGGTGCGGTCAAAGCCTCACTGCAAACGTTTCAAAGCATCGTTCTATCTTTATTTTTCGTTAAATGTAATGAATAAAGATAGAATGATGCTTTGAATCATTTGCAGTGAGTCTTTAACCCGACGCATAGTTGCATATGCATAGCATAAAACTATATAGACCAATGAGCGTCTAGCATTAAGTCGCCATATTGATGTACATAAAATCATGCTAGACGCTCATTAATTTATATAGTTATATGCTATGCATATGCACTCTGTTAGTTTGTGTAGTAAGGTTGAAGCACAGACTTTTGCATAACGCATAACGCATAAGACATAAGAAAATCAACCAATCAGAGGTTTTTATTTTTATCCCCACTTCCCGTTCTTCAGATCTTGATTGGTTGATTTTCTTATGTCGTATGCGTTATGCGTTATGCAATAGTCTGTGCTTTGACCTTTATAGCTCTTATTAGTACATATGAACGCTAATAAGCAATACAGTGTCAACCCACAAAAACTGAAATATTGAGATATTTATGTAGTATGCTCATTTAACCTCTCAAAGAACGTTTTTCAATCGTGTTTTTAAAAACTTAAATGTTTTTATATATCAAAAATACACAAACATCGTAAAAGAAAGATATACAAACATATTTTTTTTTTATTTTTAAAGCGTAATTTCCTTAAATAAGCGATGTGGAATGACAGTGTATTGCTTATTAGCGTCCATAAAAGGGTTGTTCTTTTTCCATATTTGAGGACTCTGTGTATGCAACATTATGTATGTGTTTCTGTCATTGAATGTTTGTCACTTTTTGTCTCGCCGTTATGCTTAGTAGGTTGACAACTAATATGAATAGATGTGTACATATAGTTATTTCAATTATTCTTATAACAAACAGTTTTTATATCCAGAATTCACATTTTCTTATATTATATTGTAATGTTACGGTTTGAGGACTCCACGGGCTTTTTTTTCTTGCAACGCGACGCGCCAACGCATAACAAATTTTTCTTTTAGTAAATAATAAAAAGCAATAAATAATCTGAGCAGACATCCTATTGTTTGGAGACTTGGACTCCAGACGATAGGAAAGAAAACGGTAATCACCCAAAAAGATAAACCGCGCGCTTAGTACTACCCCGAAATTTTAAATTTATTGCTTAAACATTCTAAACAAACCCGGATATCTCCGGGCCAGGAAGAACACCGCTCATAAAAATTAGACCAACCGGAGCAAAGAGAACTTTGGCGCCACGAACAATTTTTTTTTTTAAACAAATAGCAAAGGGTCTAAGTGACGTGATCAAAAACCAACACTCTCCCTTTTTCCTTTTTCGGAAAATCGGACAAGCCGAGAGATCGTCGCCGATTGGCAATCTCACGAAGTTTACCCGACTAACTAACAAATAGGAACTGGCAAAGCTCGACTGAGTTTTCCGATTGGGAGAGTCCTTGCTTACTCAAAATTGTATATAAGCCGGGACTCTCGGGATCGGAAGCAGTGTTCACAGTTTTGGCTTCCTTACAGCATGCTGAAGCGGTGGAAGGAATGCGCACAACAGCAGCGAATTCTACCTGCATAAACTCGCTGCTGTTGTCCGCATCTCTTCCACCGCTTCAGCATGCTGTAAGGAAGCTAAAACTGTGAACACTGATCGGAGGCAGATAGAGCCGCAGATTTTAGAAGTACTACAGCAAGTGAGTGAGTGACAGTGAGTGCAGAATGTGAGATCCCAGAGTGAACTACTGCGCCGCAACAGCCTAAAATCTTTTAGTAATCAACATCACTGGTACGCAGCAAATAGTAAGTCCACATTGTAATTATTTTCATTTGGAAGTTTCACTGTTTGCGTACTTACCTCCCGACTTTGCGACTGATTTTTGGAGAAATCGAGAAAACGGTCAAAATAAACAAATACATAGACACACTCAAAAATTCGAATTCTTCGGAAGGTCTACTCGCGGTATATAGCCGTTTCGGGTGGCAGCCGAATTATCGGAAGGGCTACTCGCGGTATTTAGCCGTCTCGAGTGGCGTCCGAATCTTTTCGGAAGTGCTACTCGCGGTGTATGGCCGTCTCGGGTGGCGTCCGAAGTATTTTTTTTTCTTCCTAAATTACGGAAACAAACAAAGCCCGCTTATCTCCGAATATCATTCTTAGAATCATGACACATCCAAATTTATTCCTGTCATTAAATCTATCGGAATCTAAGAAATAAAACAAAGCCGAATTTGTCAACTGACATAAGGAAATACATTTCTAAGATGATCTAAGTTGCGTTAACATGAGTTAAAGAGGCAGGCTGCACTAAACAACTTGTATTCTCCATTTCTTTCACACTTGCACTTAGCTTATAGATAACTTTGTACAAAACGAGTATGCGCTCCGTCATTATATTAGTTTCAACACACCTGTATGCTAGTAATTTGCTAAGATTTCGATTTGACTTTTTTTAAATAAATATAACTATTATATAATGTGTGGAATCAAACTAAAGAATAACTCTTTGTTATCCTTCTCTCCGTACGACCCACTCTTACTTCCTCGTTAAAATCGCTAGGTCCCGTCCTTGGTAAATGAGATTTGCGTCTCAGACCTAAAAAGGGACCAACGAGTGAGTGTTTGCTAGACAGAGCAGGGATGCCAGATTCCGGCCGCTTGGTAGCACGCGGTAGCATGGAGGGGATACGCACACAGCTTCATGCCGTGTACGTGTGGCGCTCGAACTTCGGACGCAGTCGGGCAGTAGAAAGAGACAGAGAAATGACTATCTGTCTCGCTCTCACTCAAGCGAGTGTGCGATACGACGTTCATCTCTCAATAACGTCGTAAACGGCGTAAGAAATGTCCGAGTTCGCCCGGCTCGCTTTCTGACTTTTCTTTAATATTGTAACATTTTCTTTATATGTATGTGTACATAAATTTATATGTACAAAACATGCAACAAATAAAATAATAAGTTATCCACTCTTGGCCAATATGTACGTTTTTTTTCTTTTAAATAAATGTTTTTATAGAAATATATGTAAAACTATTACAATACTTGTAAAACTTTTCAGCAAAAATAAAAACTAAAAATAAAATAACATAAAACACACTCTTTTAATTTAAATCGATATTTCTATTATATTTGTATTTAATAAATGATATGTTTGACGTATCTATAGTGTACAATCAATTTATACGACGTACATA